ACCCAATTTTTAAAGGAAGGGGTTTGAGTCGGTCGGAAAAAGTAACTGTAGAATCACTCTGGGCCGGCCGAAGTCAATACCATATAGATAGAGAAATTTTGGTCAGTAGTTTACTATGACATTATGATTACTATTATCGCAGTTTTTATTATCTAATAATTCACGTCTTTTCGTCATCCCAGAATCTTTTACCACAACCGGCGATAACTCGCTAATCATCCGTCTAGAACGCCTAGTTCAGTAAGTCACACAATAACCTCAACAGTAGGTTACTGCTAAGACCATAGGCAACAGATCGCGATTTCCTTATTCTGAGCGTAGGCCGGCTGCCTTTTTTCTGGCTTGTCTATATTGATGTTTTCACGATAGAATGTACATATATATATGTTCACCTCACTTGAATTGCGTTGTTTTGTGAAATTCGGGGTAGAATTTTCGGTGCTAATTGGGGCGGAAGCATTACGCGGCAACACGGCCCTCTGCTCGTCTGGCGCTCCCTCCAACGAGACAGTACTGGGCCTGAGTCTGGGAAGGAGTTGTGAGGTTGTACTGATGTGTTTCGTTATTTAGAACAAACTAACTCTTAGCACATGTTGATATGCCTGCATATTATGGATACTCTTCTTCTGAGCCGATTTTAAGCCTTAGTAAGAGGCCCTTCTAAGCCGTTATCTCTTAAAGTGCCTCAATAAGTGAGCCGTAGACTCAGGTAGAGCTGATTATTTTTATCTATTCATTAGAATACACGTTAGTATTTGTCTGAAATGCATTTTTGTGGCCCTAAAGGGGGCCGTTGGGTTAGCTACTTCAGCGGATCTTCCAGAGGTACTGGAGCGAGATAAGCCTCCACAGCTCGTACCTAAAAGACTTTCGCTGTCATACTGCCACTTCCACAGCGCTTCAAGAAGTGGTCATCCCAGAGATCACCCCTGAGGCCGTGCCTTCTGTGGATCTTGTCCTTCAGGCTGGACCACAACCCTTCAGTGCGCTGAGTGTGGACTCCGGATCCACAAAATTGACACTATGGTCAACAGTCTCGCGGCTGTAATCAAGATTGGAGAATTTACTGCAACCACTCCACATATCAGTCCGAACGGTTCCCCTGGAGCGACGTGCTGCCGGCTGGTTCTTTCCAAAGTGGCTGCGTCGCGCTTATCGACGATTTCAACGAAGACCAGCTTCGCACCGTCCTGGATGCTACCGACGAGCCAATCTTTGCGGAAAACACGGCCAATGTTGTACTTGCAGCGCACGATGTTGGTTTCGTCGACCTACACGATGGTGTTCGGTCCGAAAATCTGTACAACGTTGTTCGTGCAGTGCTCGACGAGCACATCTCAGAACCATTGACTTCATTGCTGGACGGTTTCCTCGTTCACCTCGAGCGTTCGAGCCACCCCCTTCGTTGTGCCTAGTTCTAGGCGAAGAGGTCGCTGGCTGCAAAGATCTTTTTCCGATCTCCATGCAAGGACTCCGAAAATGTGCCCTTGGGGTATCCAACTTTCCTGCCCACTCCTGGTTGCCGGCACGAGAGAAGGGGCTTTTGTCAGCTACTGTTAGTAGAGCGGTTTTTGTAGTCCACGTCAGTTTCTCCCTCGTGAAAACCACCAGAAGTTGCAGTTTCCTCTAGCTGCGTGAGCCCTTCAAGGTCACTTTCACTTTGTTCGATTTGAAGGCTTTGAAGCTCGCCCATTCCTGTTGTGGTGAATGATGTGAAACTTATCGTTGGCAGCCTCAATCTGTTTCTCGTCTCTGCCTTTGTGAAGCTTGTCAGCTCCTGAATCAAGAAGAATAGTGATTGGATAATCTCTTCTGGCTTCATTGAAGATCATAGCAGAGGCCATTTGCAGTACGCAATGTCCTGATCCAGTCGTTCCGATTCCGTAATGTCGTTCCGAGCAGGAGAACAGCATGCAATATTTGCACTCTGTTTGTTTCTCTCGAGTGATTATTATTTCTTGGCGTTGGCTGTCTGAAACGGTTGGCTTGCGATGGAAACGGCAACCTTGCAGCTCCAAGCTGAGTGGAGTTCGGTGGTGGGTTTTGCCTACGATTAGGTAGTTTCATAGATTCCAGACCACTGCTCGATCTTATGCAGAGTGGGGCATGGAGATCCTCCTGGCATTTTGAACACGTTCCCATTACTGTGCAAATCTTGGGCCGTGAGTTTTATCGAAACATTTCCAGCACACTCTCTAGCGCTTGGCTTCCATTCGCCTAGTCTCAGGTGTAGGGAACATGGCGCATTGGTGTGGTGAGTGCGACTCTCCACACAGACATGTGTGTCTCAGTCGATCACTGGGGAACTGCTTCATTTGGTTGCGTCCCCGTTATGTCCTCTGGCATTGTTCTGCATGGTTCAGGTGGTTCGGTCACCGAAGAGTTTTTGTCGTTAGTTCGGCAGTTTCTTGAAGCGTAGCGATTTCATCAAAAGTATCAAGAATATCCTTCACGTCGGATCCTGTGCCACTTTAATTTTTTTCTTAATTACTTGGCTCTGTGAATTTATACTATTTCTGTGAAATTCTCTGTGAATTTGGAGAGGATAAGACGCCGCCATACTCTGTCTGCGTTCATTGGCACTCCAGTTTGTCATGGGTGTACGATGCGAGAATATATGGAATTGAATGTATTGACAGCTCCTCGAGTTTTCTTGAGCCCTAGGCAGATGCTCAAACTCGTTTATTAAGATATCGGCTATGCCTGATGGTCTGTCGCACTGTTTCTTGAGTATATTAAGCGCGACATTATACTTGTCGCCCATCACTAGAATGCTGCTGATTGAAGCAGCGGCTTTTCCCTTCGGTGTCTGTTTCAAGAAAAGGAATTTTTGGTCACTCAAGTCCGTCTCGTTGTGTATGAGGGATTCGAAGGCTGACCAGAAGGTGTTGAACTATATGTAGTGAGAATGATTGAACTTCGAGCAAAGGGCTCGAAGTTCTACATTGCTCAGGGGCAGCAGCTCGTATGCTCATACAAGGTATTGAGAGTATCTCCTCCGCTGTGGGAATTGTGTTGGCTGCTACCAGCCTGGTTGGCAATGCTGGTGGCTTCCGCCATGAACGAGGCTTGTTGCGCCTACTCTTCCTTTCTGAACTCGATCTTGCTCAGCTATTGTGTTATTGCGATTTCAAGGTCATTTGTTTTCACGATCCTTCTGTTCCAATCGTGGACTGATTGTTTCGAACGCTTTGTCAATGTAGGTATCATGGAGTTGTTTTGCCTTTGTGATTATTGTTATCAAGTGGTTTAGCTGTGCAATTTTTTCTCTTATGTACACCTCACATTCCTCCTTTTCAGTTGCCTCACATTCCTCCTTTTCAGTTGGGAATGTGAACGGGTTGTGTTAAAATAGAAGCGAATTTTCTCTTCTTTTTTCGCTGTTTCGATGTTATGCTTCGGTGTTAGTAGAGATTCGAATGAGGAGAGCTCGCATCGATCACGTATCGGCATCCGCCAAAATTTAGGTATAAAGGAGGCAACCCCAGCGGAGGGATCGATCTGGATTTGGATTTGAGATCGAGTGGCGCCAGGACGCGATGGCAGCATCACCTTGTTTTGCTGTAACTTGTATCAACCGCATTATAGCCGTCTTGTAACTTTTTTTGTCTTTTTTTTGGTCTAATAAAGTATCGCTGGCATTTTCGCCTGCTACAATGAAAAACACTTTTGACTGTTAACCAAAAGTTCGAGATCCAACTCGCTTGAACGGGTCAGCTTTCATGCGTGCGTGTTTCTGGTCCTGAACAGCTGAACTTCCGCCATTTTGATGCTGGAGCTGTTTGAAATCGGTTGTTGCTTTTTTGTGCTTTGTTGGATTTGAGCAAAAGCCGTCCGAAATCAAAACTCTAAACTGTGTGAAGTTTTAGCTCAATTCGATGTCTCTTTTGAAAGACCTTGGCTTCGCGTAAGATGTGTTTCCTGCCACGCGGGTTTTGAGTTCCTCAGAGAGGAATTAATGTGCAGATTTGACTTTTTGGTTAGTGATCTAGTCGAGAATTTGCCAAACTTCCTAGTCCTCAGGGAGGCTTGTTCGGTAGCTGTTCAATCTCACTTCTGAGAGATTGTGCAGAGAATTTGTGCTTGTTTTCCTGTTCTTTTTGAAGAACTCGCAGGAAAACTTCCCAATTCCTTTCGCTTTAGAATAAGCTTGGTAGGTCCTTATGAACAAGCTCTGTTTTCTTCTGGAGGAAGTGCAGGAGACTTGAAAATTGCCTTTCGTTTCTTACTGGGAGGAATTGCTTGAAAGTCTTTTTGTTCACAACTGGTGGGAAACAATAGATGTGTACTGCTTTTTCTCACTGGGAGAGCTAGCGCAAAAGGATAAGTCTAATATCAGTATTCCTCAAGGAGGAATCAGAATAGAACATCGAGTTTTGACCAGTGATGTGGTCAAAGGTTTGCCAGATTTTGATCTCTTCAGGTGAGGAATGTGGAACAAATTGGCCGATTGATGAACATTCTGTCCTTCACGAGAGAAAGCTAGCGCAGAAAGGTTCGCTTCCGACGGTTGATGCACCAATTTGGTGAATTACGAAAGGAAAGTTGTACTAGGGATGTGTAACAAAGGTTTATTACGACGTTTCGCACAAAGACCAAAGATCGACCATAATAATACATTCACGGGGTTTATATACCCAATATCTGAGCGGTCCTCAGATACCGCATCGCCACTGGATCTGAGGTGGCCTGTGGCGGTATTCAAGCTCAGGAGATGAAAGAGCGAATCGCGCCAACGGCAGAACTGAAGTTACCTACTTGATTGCGCACATATGATACCGCCAGGTCATATCTGCGGTCTCAACTCAAGAGATGCTCATGTCATGTTATGCCTGTGGTTAATATGTTGAACTAGCATATTATCACTCATTCTTGTAAAAGCTAGTTCTATTATAAACATAGATGTGGTTGTGAATCTACAACAGGTGGATTTTATTGCAATATGCTAAAATACTTAAGCGAGGCTTTCAATGCGATTAAGACGTGGAAAGCTTCATAATTCAATGAAACTCGCATGCAAGAAGCGAAAAGGGCAGAGTGAATTTTCTTGTGATTACAATAGTGACTTTTGTAAGAGTCTGTAAGAGTCTGTAGATGGAAGAAAGGCCGTAATCAGAATTGCAAGAGTGCGTGAGAAGCAACTGTCTGGGAAGGAAGTGTCTGAGAACTGAGATCTTATCAGCTGAGCAGGGTTCTAGCCGGTAGTGGGAATGTAGGTCAATGGGAGTCGCTTTTCCTTTCATTGTGCATCATTGCTCAACCCTCGCGCATGTGAATGTCAGTTCACTGTATCCATGACTCATCTCATCACGCTTTTTAGGGCTCGCCGCCACTTCTCTAGGAGTACAGTCGACAACGCCTCTGCCCGACGATCAAGCTTGCCATCCATTGCCGATGCACCTCCTGCCTGTCACCTCTGGGTCCCTTGTCCTCCAACGTCTACCGCCTCATCTGCACACTCTCTGGTTTCTTCTATCCAATACGACCGGGCAGAACTCTAATATTTTCTACACATACTGATAAACGTTATACGAGGGTTGCCTTTTATATCTTGAGATTTGGCAATACTAGTGAAGCAATCTAGCAACTGACATCACTGTAGTAAAGTTTGACTATTTTGAGGATACGTTGCGAAGATTTGCGTTGTTTACACTAAGTTATAAGATTTTGTTTAGGCCAAGTTATGGGGTTGACTCGTGAGCATTTTCGCGCGGTTATTTTCTACAACTTTCGACGTGAGCTAACTCAACAGCTATGCGTGGATGAACTTAATTCAATTTCTGGGGATGAAGCTCCATTTAGGGCCAGTGTTTATCGATGGTACAGGGAGTTCATTCGAAGTCGCAGTTCACTCGAAAAAGAATTTCGTGGAGCTCGTCCAAAATCAGTTGTTGTTTCGGAAACCGTTGGCACTGTGCACAAATTAATACTGCAAGACCGTCATGCGACCTATCGTGAGATTGAGACAACCTTAGGCATTAGTGGGACCAGCATACATTCAATATTGCATGAACATTTGACTGTAAAAAAAATTGTTTTTGAAA